GTCATTGTATATTTCAAATTTTGTTGAATTATCTCTTTAAAGAGGTACGGAAGGGCGAAAGTTCAGCACTTATGTTTTAGCTTTAATGTGTTGCATGTTCCAGGATAACCTCAAAAATACCAGTCTTTCATTGAAAAGCACAAGAAAACTAATATTAAAGCTGATTGAATGATATTTCAATGTGCACCAGGTGGATGCACGTGGAGCCTATTTGGTAGGTAATCAGCAACGTTCGGGAACTTGCTACGTAGTCATGACGTAGAACGTTCCATCGGAGCAGCGCCGCTCTTTGGAATTTAAACATTTTCCTTTTTAGCTTTCCTCCTCAACTCACAAATCGCGCATTCTACCAAACAGTCCAAGAAGACGGAAAGGAAGGACTCCCTTCTTCCTCGGATCCTTGTTTGTGTACCCGGACCACAGCCATTCTCTCCCCAGAAGATTGGCCCGTCAAAACTCGGGCAAAAGTTGCTTTTCCCACCCCGTTCACCACTAAGCTGACAGTGCTGTGGAAGCTACGTTCTCCTTGGGCCAGTCACATGCTCGTCACCCCACGGGTACATCGAACAGCTCGGTTGTAACGCGTTGACGCTATTTACGCCACCACAACGCTGACAACGCCAACAACGGCAAAGCTCATAACCACAAAAGCCTTGCTACGTCGCAAATACAAAAAATCTTTTTTTTTTTTTTTTTTTTTACGCATCGCGCTCTTTGTTCGCTTTTCCTCGAGAGCTTGCTCGAGTGCACCGTTTGGAAGGAAATATATAGCCAGTGGTTCAAAATACAAACGTGCGATTATCATTTACGGTTATTATCCGTCATGCATGACTTATTTCTGAACGAAATTTGAATATTTCAATTTTTGTTTCCGTACCCCTTTAAACCGACCATGACTATGCGGAGCGCAAGTTCCGTCCGCTTCTCACGCTGGGGTTGCGGTGACATCACAACGTCAAGCTCTGATTGGCTCCGATGGAAAGATAGCTGGTAGACCTCAAGGCAGCAAGCATGGTGGTCTACCCCCTATTCTTCCAATCAGGGCCAATCAGAGCTGAGCGTTCTGAGTCTCACTACAAACTCTGCTCATGAAGCAAGCGAACTTGCGGTCCGTATAGTGCTAGGGCGTTATTTCACTGGACAAAGAAACAACCGAACAACGTTTGCAGACACGTTGTACGTATACCATGTGTAGACGCTTTTGATTGCGATTGAGCGTCAGCAACGGGCCATGAAAGCGCTTGTTTATGCACAAGGGATACTGCGGAAGAGATCGTCAACAAAAGTGTCCCGCTTTACTAACGGACAAAACTCAATGTTTGCCGCGCTTGAAGAACTCGGTGACCAAACTCACGCGTATACAAGAGTGGCCCCGACATTTATTTATTTACTTGTTCGTTTTTGTTTCTTTTTTTTTTTTTTTTTTGCTTGCTTGCTTGTTTGTGTTTTTTTTTTTTTTTTTCAATTATGAGATTACCGTAGAACGCATTGCTAGGGGGCAAAAAAAATCAAATTTGGTTTCCCAGCGAAACAGAGCACCATCGGTTTCATCTTTTTCTCGTTGCAAGCTCTATAGTCCTTGGCAAGGTGAAAATGGCAGAGCATTTCTTTCCGACGTTCGCCTTCCAGCATGCGCTCGTTGCCTGTTGTCGTGCTTCAGAGAAGTGCGAAATGTTCCAAAATCTGGGACTCGACATGATAAAACAAATAACACCGACTTGACTTAACAAAGTTAATAGCTTAGTCAGTTTCGTCTCCTATGCGGGAAACATTAGGGAGTTTTCGTAGATCGTTTTCGCCGTCCCGCAAGGCCCTCCGCAATCCGCTACGATAGCGGGAAGTCCACAGTCAAGGCTATCGGCGCGCAGGCGCAGTAGCAACTTCTTCGTTGCGGAACGTTTAGCGGAGGGGGCAACGCGGTCTACGAAAACTCCCTATTTTCATTGACCGCCAACAGGGACGCGAGTGAGAGCCCAGCAACCAAACCCTATTTCAGTAAATCCACGTACACGTCAGGAAGTGTGCCGTGGTTAACATTGCAAGCCGATTGGTCACCTCGGATGTACACGATTCCAAGAATTTCCGGGGACCCTACCTTGGTACCCGTCCCGAGATCTCTGCGTTGTCAAAATCAAGGCTGTGTCCGGTAGTCCGACGATGGACAACTAGTTCAGTTTTTACCTTGTGGCATGTGTCGCCCTTTCCACGTCTCTTTCGTGCTCTTTGAAGCGGGTGCTTCGCTTGAGGCCAGTTTGCCCAATGTACGATCCGTCACAGTCCCGACAACTCAACTTGTACACCTCCCCGTTCTGGGATTTCGGAGGTGTTTCGTCATTCGGTTTGGAAAGGAGGTTGCGTAGCCTTACATGCGGCTTGAAGGTTGTCCTGACAGCTAAAGGCAGGAGGGCGCGGTGTAGTGATTCGGACACCCCCTTAACATACGGAATCGTTACGACACCTGCTTTCAAAGTCTTGTTCTCTTTGGGGCCGCCCCGGAGCATCTGTTTACGTGTGTTATCCATAAACCGGCCCTAAAGAGAAAAACAAAATGAAACCCGTTTACAGCTCCCCGTAACGCCGGATTAGAGCGCAGCTCTAATCCGGCGTTACGGGGAGGATGGAAGGGTACTAAGGGATAGGTGACTCCTTGAGGTCACGTGACTTCAGGGGGAGGGGTCACGTGACCTCTGGGAGGGGTCACGTGACCTCAGGGGGTTACCTGAGGGTAACTCTGATAACCCTCGTGACCCTTGAGAGGGTAACCCTTGTGAGAGTAACCCTCGTGACCCTAACCCTTTTGAAGGTAACTAACTTTCGCAACCCTCGTGAGAATAACGCTCGTTACCCTCGTGAGGGTAACCCTCGTGAGCGTAACCCTCGTGATCCTCGTGAGGGTAACCCTCGTAACCCTCGTAACTCCACCGAAGGTAACCCTCGTGACGTCATTATGGAAAACTACCCATAATGCAACGCGCGGTTACGCCGACAGCGACGCCGACGGCGAAGCCGCTCAAGCCGGAGCGGGCGCCGAAGAGCTGCGCTGTAAAAGACTTTCAAAGCAGGTGTTGTAACGATTCCGTACGTAAATGGGGTGTCCGAGTGGATACGGCGCGCCCTCCTGCCTTTAAATGTGAGTACATGCCACAACGTGAAAATCCGAACTGGTGGACTATTGTTGGACCGCCGGACACAGCTTTGATTTTGACAACGCAAAGATCTTGGGGCAACAATAAAGGTGGGGTCCTCGGAAATTCTTGGAATCGTGGTGCATCCGAGGCGACAAATCGGCTTGCAATGTTAATCGCGGCCCACTTCTTGACGTGTACGCGGATTTACTAAAATAGGATTTGGTTGCCGGGCCTTCAATCGTGCCCCTGTTGGCACTCACTGTTGATGTCTCCCGCATGGGAGATGAAACGTGTCTCTAAACTGCTAATTTTGTTAAATCAAGTTAGTGTTGTTTGGTTTATCATGTCGTGCTTCGGCAGCGCGTTATTTAAGGTGGGAAGCTCGATCTGGAAGCGAGACAACTAACCTTCTCAGTTATTCTCATTCTGTAAGTGACTATAGCTCCAATTATGCGTATGCTGAACAACAAATGTGCCACTATCTGTGTTTGTGCATGCGTGACGCATCTTACCGAATTAGACATATATATATATATATATATATATTTAGAGCGAATACAGTTTCCAAACCTCAAAATTACACCGGCTGCTCCATAGCATGAAGGTGAGAAGAAAGATAAATGACAATGGATCCTCTTAAACGGTTTCGTTATTTATCTTTTCTTAGGAATTACTAAATAAATTTGCAAGTTCGTTTTTTTTTTATATATATACATATTTTGATAACTCAATTTACGCGATCTAAGCGTGCTCCAAGGACTCAACTGCCCAGTTCCAGCGTGTTATTGTCTGGGTGCGAATCGAAATGGTGATAGTGTTATTTTGTAAGAGGATATTTCTTCCTATTTTTCCTGCGATTCTGTGCTCTGAAAATTGGATGCTGCAAAAAGTGACAGTTAAGAGTCGCCCTTGTTGGTACATACTTGTAAATATATCAGCTTAAACATTTTAATTAAACTTGAACCTTGTTTTCTTCGTGTTTAAGTTTCAATTTAAAGTTCAAGCTGATATATTTACAAAAAGTTACACTGCCCCTAAAAAGAACAGTGAGATAACTTACCCGAAATGAATCCTCGTAAATCTGCCCAAAAGCAGAGCTTCCTCTCCAACCGCCGAATATGGATTCCAGTCTTTTATTTGTCATAGCATGACGCAGCAAGACGCTGCGCCAACGTATCGCGCCCTGCCTATAGATGCCCACCGCTCATCGGTGTATCAAAAACTCTGCTATCGCTCAATAAGACATGCCCCAATAGAGCAAAAGATATTTTGTTGTAATGGCGTCTTGACAAGTTACTGCATTCGTTTTGCGTTCATGTTGCGTTGATTTTGTTTTTATAGATATGTGTATGCCCACTCCCTTGTAGAATGCCCACTCGGATCCTCAAACAATGTTGATGATGATGATTTCAAAGGCGCTCTCGACGAATGCGTAGCCTTTATAGATTCTCTTTAACCTCATCGTATCGCCTGACGCCAGTGTCACGAGAACATGTGGTGCCATGGCGTTACGTTAGATTACGGTGCCACGTGACTAAAAACTTCGTTGAAAAGAGACAAGTTATGCATAAGTTATCCGATAAACTTATCATAACTTAAATAAAGCATATAAGTTATATTATCCTCTATGTTCCAATATGTTTATGGGACACATTCACATCATATTTCTTACTAGACAAATACAACGCATTTGAAACGCGCAACCTCAGCGCCTCTCCTCCCGAGAGCCAAAACCGAAACCGAAACCCAATCGAGACTCCCGCCATCAGGATTACCGTCGTGGTTCCCAGATTCGTCGTCGGGTGTCGCCCTATCGCGACAAGTCAGCCGAAGGGAGCGCGCGCCTCGCCGAAGACGTGAGAGCTCCAGAAGCCGCAGGGTCGATGCGAAGAGGGCAATGCGCTGCGGGCGCAGCAGCAGCCGGTGCGGCTGTGGATAGCCGGGGCCCCGACGCCGTCATGGATGCCTCCTCGGCGACGCAGACGAAAAAAGGAACCCCGCTGTCGAGCCCGGTCTCGAGCCTCCTCCTCTTCTTCCTCCTCGTGGGAATAGGGTCAGCCTCCGGTCGCGGTAAGTGGCCTCTTCTCTCTCCCTGATGGTCATCGGGAATCGTTGGGAAAGCAAGAACTCCGTATTACTGTTGTTGCGATAGCCGGAAGCCAGGGTAGGAACCGAGGATGACGTTTTCACGGTTTGGAACGGAACCGTCAGCACCTCGGTAGGGAACCTATATCGGTTTCTGTCAGTTCATCGCCAAACTCATAGCGGTAGCTATTTGGAGCAAATGGGACGCTATCGATTCGGTTCAAGCTGTGGACTCAAAGGGCCTGATTTGGGTGCCTCTTTGAAGACTCCAGTCATATGCCGTTTAATTAAGTTGTGATGAGAAAAGCTCCTCTTCGCTTCCTCCTCATTGGGATAGAGTCAGCCTTTGGTTGCAGTGAGTGGCATTTTCCCTTTCAACTCTCCCTCTCACTGATGGTCATCGGGGTTCGGAGGGGAAGCTGGAGGAACTATGTACTGTTGTTGTTATGATGGCCGGAAGTCAGGGTAAGAGCCAAGGATGATGTTTTCATGATTTAGATGGAGCTGTTACCACTTCGGTGGCGAACTGATCGTGGTATCAGATTGGAAAAGTTTAACGCTGTCCGTTTGGTTACAATTATAAATTCAAAGAGACTGAGAACTGATGTTATTTATCACTGCATTGAATTGCAATAGGAACAGCTCCTATTTTGCTTCCTTGTGGTTATAGGGTCAGCCTCCGGTCGCGTTGACTGTCTCGTTCACTTCCTGGTGCTCATCGGGTTTCTTTGGGGAAGTGGAAGAACTCTGTGTTGTTGTTGTTTTGATAGCCGGAAGTCAGGGTAACAGCCAAATATGACATTTTCATGCTTTGGAAAGGAAGCGCCACCATTTTATTCGTTAACTGAAAGCGGTAGAGAAACGCTATCCGTTCGGTTTCATTTGTAGATTTAAAGGGACTGATTTGGATGTCTTTTTGAAGGCTCCTGTTACTCGCCATTTAGCTAAGTTGTACTAAGAACAGTTACTATTATTCTGCTTGCTCGTGGGGATAAGGTAAGCCCTTGGTCCTGGTGAGTACCTCCCATTCTCTTCCTGGTGGTCATCGGGGTTGGCGGGGGAGTCGGGGAACTGTCGGTTCTTGTTGATGTTGCGACAGCTGGAAGCTAGGGTTGGAGTCAAGGATAACGTTTCCACGTTGTGGAAAGGAACCTTCATCAAGCCGATATTTTATACAAGTTTTCTTATCTGGTACCTTTATGAAGACTTCAATTCTGTGCCGATAAATTCTATCGTAATAAGAACTTCATTTTCGTTAGGTTTTTGCAATTCTTGCTCTCGCTTTCGCAGGTGGAGATGATGCCCCGCCGTCTTGAAATAAGCTGCTTTTTTTCAGGGTTTATTTTTGTGTTGGGTTGAAAGGGTTTAGGGCACATGGCCCCGAACCCTTTAATATGTTTCTATATTTTAAGCCTGTTCTAACACCTGTGTTCATTACAGGCTTGCTGTAACTGGGGAAATAGATCATGCGCAATCCTTGAAGTGCATTTTTTTTTTTACTAATTATGCTCTAATAAAAAGAGTTGTTTTTTAGTTGTTTTAAATCCGTACAAAAAGCTTCGCAGCTCGAGGCGATGTTCCTTCCGCAGTCTAAAAAAAGAAAATATATACCTGAGTTAAAAGGATCCGGGTCACACGGCGAAAGGTTCTGATTTCAAGCCTGTTCCGACACTTGTACTGATTGCAGCGTTTGTTTCGCATGTATGAAAAACACTTAATTTGTGAACGTTCACGTATATTATTGGCATTTTAATTGGGTTGTAATAAGAAGGGTTCCTCGTCTTTGTTGTTGTTTCGTTAAAACTTTAATGCAGTAAAGCAAATACCGCTGCCCATAACGAGGTACCACTCTTTTGGAACACATTTACGAACACGGCTGAACGGGTTTAGGGCAAAGAGCAAAAAAGTCTTATTTAAACCGTGGTCCGTTTCCTGTGTTCGTCGCCATTTTTTTTTGTATCAAGAAAATTTCATTTATAAACATTGAAGTAAGTTATTTGCCGTCTTATTTTATTGTAACAAATATAACCTATTTTTAGATGTAAGAAATTATCGCTGCTGGAGACGGTGTCACGCCGTTTCAACAAAAGGTTCTGAATTCAAGCATATTCATGTATCTGTCTACATGCCTTTTGTTTCGTAGCTGGCAGAAAACTTAATTTGTTAACCTTCACGTAGATTATTCGGCGTCTTATTGTATTATAAGGAGAACAACCTCTATTTCATCTTTTTTCTTTACATCTTTTACAGTAGGTATTATTGCTGGAGGCAGTGTCACGTCATTTCGAACCAAACATTTACAAGCTAGGTTGAAAGGGGCTCACGACAAATGTCAGAAGGTTCTGTTGTTACTTACTTCATTTTTATGTATCCGTCAACATGCATTTCGTTTTGTAGCTGGTAGGAAACGTAATTTGTAAACTTTCAATTAAATTCTTTCGCCCCTAATTTTGTTGTCAATAGAAGAGTGCCTCCTTACTGTTTTGTATTTCTGAAACCTCTAGAGTAGGTATCGCAGCTGGAAACAATTCCCCGCCATTTTAAAACTAATCATTTCTAAACTCAATTGAATATGACTCAAGTCACATGAGGAAGGTTTTCCTCTGTCGCCTGTTCCAATATCATTATTTATTGCCCTTTATTTTGTAGCTAAGACAAAACTGACTTTATAAACCTTGAAGTAGATGCTGCAATTATAATTGTTTCATTGATTAAAAAAATGTTTAACAAGCCCAGCTACAAGGAGTGGAAGCACATTGAAATGTTCTAATGGATGGGTATTTATCGCGACTTCTTGTATGATTAAAGATTTCCCTATTAATTCTGGGATGCATAGCCGTAGCTCACGGTTAAAACTTTTGTTTCAGCCTAAGAGATTAAAGCACGGGTGATGGGCTGATAGCACGTTGGAAAATTTTTGTTTAGATGCTTTTCCGATAGCTGTCTTTATGGCCAATTCTGTGATTAAAAATCGTTTTATCTAGAACTTATAAAAAAGATGTTGCAACTGAGGACAGCAATACTCTGTTCAAATGAGATATTGTAAACAACTTATATTTCGCGGGCTCATTATTTAGCGATTGAGGTCAAAGCTCAAGTTTTGGAATAATTCGCGGGTTCTAATTTTCGCGATGTTGTGGGACCTCAATATAGATTTTAACGTGTTTACATCTTCCCGGAATTGTTCGCGGGACAAATTTTTCGCGAATGGTAGACGATTCGCGAACTTCGCGGAAATTAGGTCCTTGCGAAAATGAAGTCGTTTACAGTATTCAAAGGCGCATTCGAGTAAGGTGACAACACATTAGAGAAGTTCTTATTTGATATGTGTTCAAACACATTTATTCATTTTATTCATCACCGTTTCTTCTGTATTTAGGACAATTCGGTATTTCAAAAGCTTGAGGCAAGAGTCGCAATTGTAGATAATATCCTGCCGTTCAAAACGTCTTAATTGAAGACTGACGATGCAAGGGAAAGACCTCGTTTTCACGCCGCATCGACTACCTCCATTCCTGTGTAATTAGAATATATTTTATTTGGAGCGCTTGAAATAAGCTTTGCAACTTGAGGATAATGTTTTGAAGTTTGTGGTCGGTTTGCCTCGCTGCATACCCGACCCGGAGGAATAACACGGAGCCAACGATTTCAACAACAAGAAACTACATTTGATGGGACATGGACGAGACGATTAACATGGTTACCAGCGGCGCCTGAGTCCAGGCCGTGACTCCCCGTGTGCCGCCTCTCGTCCACCTCATCTAGGCGGCGCACACGATGTGCGCGTGGCTGGCTTGACGTCGCCGCCACGCGGGAAAAGTTCGCCACCTGAGCCCCGCAGTCGGGTAACTGGGCTGGGGAGTCGCCAGGGTGCCTACAAGTTCACTGCGAATAACTATAAGGTCGGTTAGAAGGGGTGATGTCAGGTTCTGAAATGGTGCCGGTTGCGAAACTTGCATTCATTCAATCATATATAGCCTTCTTTATATTGATAACGCCTTCCCAACTTCTGACTTACCTACACTTCGGCGCCGTTGCGCATGCATCACGTCACCACCGCCAGAGGCGCCACCTTTCCATACAATGAAGACGATGATGCTTGTCCGCTGCGCACAACGTACGTGATTCCAACAATTTCGGAATCCGTACTTCAAAGCGGGTGAGCTGCAACGTATGTAGTCTCCAAAAGCGAAGAAATTTAGTGGATGGTAGGTATGACCCAATACGAATGACATACCAGTCAGATGACCTGGTAGACTTTCGCACTGTCGCAACAGTGAACGCTGAAAGTTTTTATTTGCGACTTTGACGGCCTATAGGCGGTGCACTAGTTCCTATCAAAATGGCTATCATCTGGATGATGGTCTTAAAACAGTAGCACGGAGATGGCTCTGCAACGCGCAATTTTTTTTTATATATATATGAGCGATACAAGAGCTTTATCTCATTATTCTTCGTCAGGAAGGTGTAAGCAAGCACCTTCACTCTGAAGACTATCATCCAGGAGCTATGGATTGTGATTCTTGCATCGCGGTACCACCATCACTGAAAGTTGCTCATTTCTAAAGTCAAGGACCAGGTACAGAGCAGAAGGTGAAGAGGAATCACAATGGCGATGGTCATCTGAGGCTACAATCGCTACGAAGTCACCTAAGCAGCTTGAAAGATGTTAGTTGTGCCAGGGCTCACGTTTCGTAATGACGCACTGTGCCTGTCTTCAGGCACCCGTAACTACTTCGAAGTGCGCGAGAAAGGTATGGGCAGGTAAACACTGACAGCCTGTCCAGCAGCACCGAAAGGGGACCTGGAAGGGTACATGGGCGGATCCAGCTTTGATGCCATGGAGGCCCGAGTCAAGCTGGACTTTGAGTGAAGCCTCAGCAGGATGCACGATGGGAAACCAGACGGGCCCTCCTTAACGTCCGTCGCAAAAAGGTGCCTACTGCATACTGTTGAGTATCAGGAGGTAGAATTTGGGACGCAAT